CTCATTACAACTGGTCCCCACCAGAAGTCCCTGCCCTGTTTCCTGAAGGAACCGTCATCCTGTTTCCAAGGCCAAGGCCCACTGGCAATTCAGAGATGGTCCAGGGACCTAGGAGAGCGAAGGGCTCTACTCTGCAGCCTGGGTGCCTGTTTCCGAGGCTCTCTGACTCCCCTGCCTGCACTGGTACCCAGGTGCACAGAGAGGAGAAACCTTTCCGCATGCTCTGATGGTGGGGGAGGTCACAGACTGTCCTCGTATAGCAGGCACACCCCGTCCTGACCAAGGCACTCTGACTCGCCATTCACTTTCGGTTACATGAAACCTCAACGTCTGGACCGGCTACTATCCTGGGAGGTGCTGCATCTTTATTAAGGAGCAAGCAAAGCTGGAGAAGAGTAAGTGCCCAAATGGGAGTTCTGGGAGTCAGAGGTTTCCGTAAGCTTGGCCAAACTCCAGCAGAATGAGAAGAGCACTTAGAAGGAGATACTCAGCCTGATAAAGCATAACCTCTGACTCCCGTCGGAGTGTAGGGCCGGGGGAAGGCGACAAGGCAATTCTCTGCAAGACACCCTCAGGTTCACTGCAACAGAAGGCATCACGTCAATGGCTGAAAGTCCAAGGATTCTCCCTGCTTTACACAACGGTCCATCAGAAACATGTGTGCCCTGCTGAGATGGCCCAGACCAAGTGGGCAGGGGAACATCTCATCCTGCCCCTCTCAGTGAGGCATGGGGTTTCCAAGTCAGACAGACCATCTCTTCCCTTTACCCTCCTGAGGTGGGAAGGTTCAAACCCATGGGTGGCAGCTCACAAGTCCTGAGGAAAACCTGCAGGGGCACAGGGTAACTGGCCCCGGGGGGAGCTGGTAATCCTGTGGCAGAGTGAACGTGGGCAGGTTCTAGAGCCAGCAATTCCCTTAGAAGAGAACTCTGTGTTATGTCTATTGGGTAAGCAGGGAAGAAAGAGAGAAGTCATATAAAATGTACTACCGCATTTTAAATCAGATTAGCATTTTCAAAAAGGTTATACGGTATCCATGGCTGAAAAGAGAGCCATAAAAAAAACAACAAAATTACCTCCCTATGCAGAGGTCACGCTCAAGGGGAAGGGAAGCACGGTCATCGTGGGCTGTTGACTGGCAACCAGCGCTGATGCTACATTTGGATTCTTCTAGACATCTCCTACTTTAAGAATAAGATGTCCCCCGAGTTGCACTTCCAGGAACCCACAGGGGCACGTCTACCCTGTGCTACAGGGCAGCATCAGAACTGACGCCATGGCAGCCAGCACGTTTTGTTAACACGCTAGCGTTGGTGGTGGAGTGACCTATTCACGGAGCTGCAAACCACACGGGTTCAAACCCACCAGCCCCTCAGCCAAAGAAAAATGAGGTTGCCTGCTCCTGTAAAGAGGTAAATCCTCAGAACCTCAAAGGGGAAGTTCCACTGTCCTTTCGGGCATCTGTGAGTCAAAATCGATTCGGTGGCAGTGTTTGGGGTTTTTTAGGCGGCTATACACCCTCCTAGTCTCAGGGCCCTGCAGCAGAAAGTAAACTGGTGCCTCACTTGAACCGAGTCAGGCCAATCTACGGCCAGGGACACCTCATACTGTAAGGCCACCAACTGAGGGGCACAGAAGTTCCCGCTCTCTTCCCAGTCCTGCACTGGCACTCTGCGACCACTGAGAGAGGTTTACGTCTCGAGAGGCACAGAGCATGAAGAAGCAATCGATGTCCTCATGCATGCGGCATGGCAACTATGGCAATACCTCAGCTGGCAGGAAGTGTTTTCTGGACCGTCATCCTTTTTGGAAAATCGGGCCCTTCCTCAGAACAGAAACTGTTTAAGAGAATTTTCCAGGTTTTCCTACATGCGTACCATCACCCGGGGACCTTGTCGAAAGGCAGATTCTGATCCAGCAGGTCTGAAGTGGAACCCAGGATTCTGTATCTTTCTGCTGCTGGCTCACTTTGAGAGGCAAGAATTCAGATTCCTCCCTCCAGGGAAGCTGAAATTTCAGAAGGGGTTCCTTCAAGAATCATAGTGAGGGTTTGCTGAGTAATTAGGCATTGCTCTAGGCATTTTGCATATATTCATGCCTTTAATTCTCCAAGGAACATCTTAGGAACATCCTCATGTTACAGATTAGAAAAAGCAAGTCACAAAGTAGTCACTTATAGGTGAAGAGACTGAGCTTGGACCCCAAACAGACTAAGCTATAAAGTCTTACAGGTAGCCACTATTGATTTTTTTTAAATGAATGCCATCAAGTAGATGCTGACCCATAGGGGCCCTATAGAGCATGGCAGAACGTCTCCCATGGGTTTACAAGACTATAACTCTTGACAGGAGTGAAAAGGGCCATATGCCTCCTGTGGAGCAGTTGGTGGTTTTGAACTGCTATACTTGAGGTGAGTAGCCCAACACATAACCACAAAGCCTACCACTATTGATCCCCAAAAGGAAGAAAGAGCAAGCTTTTTGTTCAACTGGAGGCTTAGAAAGCAGACAGTTTTTGTTCACCTAGATGCTTAGAGAGAAAGGAACGTGAAGGAGGAACTCTGTGGTACTGCAGAAAACCCACAGAAGGGAAAGGTTTCCAATCGGCCATTGCCCGAGGAAATACCTGGGTCAATTACATAGCAAACTGGGAGGAAAAAGCAAAAACGCTGTATTTTAATAATCCAACACCGGCCCCTCTCCGCACCTTGCCAGATGTTCTCAGAGCACTGTTAAAACAGCCTGCCTGCTATGGACTCACTGTGAAACGTCTATCTGGGATAGCAGAGACTATTGATTGGGACAGGACGCGTGGCCAAGGCGCTGAGCAAAATGCTGACACCAACAGCCCCGAGGGAGATGTCTTGCCTCTGATTCTTTTGGGTTCGTTTTGGCCAAAGACGAGGAAAGCGGGGTAGGGCTCACAGCCGCATGCCTGGAGGAAAGGCGGAGTCTTTGCAGGGGAAGAGAAAGCGTGATAGAGCGGAGACCGCGTGGTGAAGAAAACGTGTTTCATAGCTCAGCCCAAAGGCCCAGCTTGACTGCGGAAGTGCTGAACTGCAGAGCCTCAGCGGCCCAGAGCCGTCAGGGGAGTTTTAGTAGCGCTGTCCAAGGTGCCAACAATGGCTTCTGGTATACTTTGCCACCCACGGAATGGATCTGAGGCTTTGTCCGCCTAGAAGAAACTGGCAGGTGCCCTATGAGTGGGGTACAACAAGGCTGCACATGGAGGGTGGGACATTGTGGAGAACTGTATAAGGGGGAGAAGGAAAGGGCCGCTCCGGCGAGTCTGCTCGTGGAGCTCTAAGGCGGGGAACACAATGAGAACTGTGCGCTTTATGCAGCGCATCAGTGGGGGTGACTGCAAGGGCGGGACCCCTTCCTCCCCACAGGGCCCCACCTTAGGCGCTGTTTGGCCTGGGGATCACCTAGCAGGGTGGGGGTTGTAGGGGCAGCACAGGGAGTAAGGGGACACGAGAAGCCCAGCCAGGCGTGGTGGTGGTGATGGTGGTAGGATGTGAACAGCAGCAGGAAGAATATCTGCTTGGAGATGCTCCTTCGTATCTAATGAGGGGTACTGCCTCGCAGCACCACAGGACAGCCAATCATGGTGCTGCTGAAGCAAGGAACGAGTGAAGAAGGAGGGGGAGGGAGGAAGGGGGGAGGGACTCAGGGCATGCTTCATGCCTCCCTAATATTGGGGACCCAAAGCTGTTCCAGCTGCCTCTGGCTGCACACCTGGAGGGTGATGGCAGGGGGGAGGGAGAAAAGCAGAGAAGGGGAGGAGCCTCTTTTGCAAGTGCACCCTCCTTCAGAGAGCTCCTTCCACAATCACCAAAGGCCATGTCTTCTCCAAGCCAGCACCCATGTTTAACCTCACACCACAGACACACCGCTGGCTTGCCCGCTAATCCCTCAGCCCAACCCACCACCTCACTTCCCAAAGGCCTTAGTGAGGAACAGGGCAGTAAAGTGCCTAATCAGCAGTCTGTATTCACTGGGTGCACTTAATTAAACCTGCACAGGCGCCCCTTCCATTCCGGTTCACCCTGACACCGCACCACTGCTGATGCCCCCAACCAGCTCTCTTTGTGAGAGCCTTTCTTCTGCTAGGGCAAGGCAGACAGCTGGCACACCCCTGGCCCTCAGCTGATGAATTCAGGCCAGCAGATCCTGGGTGCTGGGAGAACGCCACCTGAATCAGGCATTCAAGGATGGGAATACCCATCCTAGGAGCAAAGACAGAAAGCCCACCCCCATCCCAGGAGCTGCTCTTCCTTGGATAAGAAGAGAACTCCAACTTTGAGCTGTTTGGAATTATGGCATTAGCTAGCGTTCAGTTGCCCTGACAGACACTCAGTCACTCCACTCTCGGCGGAACTTAAACTTCATGCCCAGAGTTATCAGAGTCCCCACCCAGCCCAAAGCCTGCTTTACTTATGCATCGGTGTCTGCTTGTTTACAGGGTTTGGGCCCAGAGCTCTTAGAGCTCCTGAACTGATTGATCAACCCCTTCACAAAGCCTTGGCTACCCCACAGGCAGCAGTGCAGGTGTCTCCCAGCTGGTGGGCATGGGGATAGGGGTGGGGGTGGCTTGAAGGGAGAAAGGGTTGGGAGGGGGGTGATTATGAAAGAAAGCCTAGAGAGCAGGGGCAACCCAATCTCTATAGAATGCAGCTCATGAAGGCACCTGGGATTCAGACAAAGGCCAGCCCCAAAAGGAGCAGACACAGAACCACCACTCACCCAGGGGCACTAGAGATTTCCATGGAGGAGAAATAAAAAACAAAAGTCTTACCTTGAAAAACACTAGTGCCCAAACCGGCCTCTACTGCACCAAGCTCACCCCCTTGGGTGCACAGAAGTAAAGAGCACACCTCAGAAAGGGGGCAGTTGGCACCAGAAAGGGGATGGAAGATACATTCCATGCTAGGTCCCCCACCCCTCAGCCCTAGAAATGCAAAAGGGGAGAGGGGAGTTATGGTGAGTACGAAAGGATATGGCCAATCGATGAGCTTCTTGGCGTATTTCCTGACAATGTTATCTTCTCCGAAGATGAACAGGGATCGGTTGACGGTGAAACAGTTCTGCCGGACAGGGATGGGGTTGTACAAAGCCATAGTCCGAGCCCTCTGCGCTTTCGACTGCTTGTAGGCGGCCGCCGGCCCTGAGGCAGGTACTGGGGTTCCTTGCCGGTTCCTGCTCTGGTCCGAGTCTCCATCACCGGACCCGGGCCTGCCGATGACCACCGCCTCCCCGAAGCGAGCCATCCTGAAGTTCAAACAGACAGAAGACACACAAAGGTGATCGTGGCCGAACACCTGCCCACAGCAACAAGCAGAAAGACACACGGACACTCAGAGCCTCCTCCCGAGGGGCAGGGCACGGGGCCACCACCTCCGGGAGCCCGGGCGAGCTCTTCCGAGAGACGCAGCAGCAGCCCCGTCCTCTGAACTGTTGAATCTAAATACAACCTCTGCGAAGCTCCATTCCTCGGGAAGGAGAAAAAAAATGGGGGGAGGGCTCAGGGCGCTCAGTTTCTGGAGGCGATTTTTTTTCTCCTCAAAATGCCAGTGTAGTGGCGTTCAGGGACTGGAGAGAAGAGGGGCGGAGTAGTCTGTTCTTCAAACATAGCTCCTCTGCTGGCAGTCCCACCGCCTCGTTCAGGAAGAGAGGCAGCACCGCTAGGTAACAGTTTGCTGATTTATTCCTTGCGGAAGAGAGGTGGATTGGAGGGTTTAAAAAAAATTAAACAAAAGAACTTATTGGGGGAAAAAAGGGATTAAGGATTAAGGTAGCATGCTTTCTAATGCCAGCCCCTGAAAGCCCATCTGAGAAATTTCCACAGCCAAGACTCCGGTCTTGAAATCTGCCAGCACAGACGCATCCAAAGGTTGGAGAGAGAGAATGGGAGGGGGGACAGCGCTATTGAGGTCCCTGCGTAAACCGCAACGCCCAAAATATCAAAAGAAGAAGTCGATCCAACGGAAGAGGCGCAAACGACTTGCGAGCTCCTCGGCTCAGGAGAGACGTTAAGCAGCATCCAGAGTACAGCGGAGCCCGAGTGCCAGCATCCGCCCGGAGCGCTCG